AAAGTAGGAAACAATTTCCTATCTTTTATGAATCACCCAAAATTAAAATAGATGTCATTTAAGTGCTCTTAAAACTTCACAAATCATGAGTCAAACTCATGAAAAGGCTGCTGAAAATTTTCAGCAAGTGCGTTTAACAATTAAACACAAAATTCATGGAGAATTTAGCCATCAAAACTGATCATAGTTGTCCAAAATTTTCTACATTGAATCTTTGTTGTTTTGGAACCCAAAAACATGATTTTATGATTCTTTTTCATACTAAATCAAGTCTGACCAAAATATACAATAAATTAATTTTATAAAACTAATGTTTTAATAATTAAAAACTGCTCATAATGCTTGGCCATTGTTAGCAAAAATAATTAGCACATTAGTCTCCAAGACACCTCAAAACTATTTGATTTTAAGTTGGCTTTGCAAGCCTTTTAATCCATTCATTAATCCATCAATTAAACAAAATTTTAAACCTTTTAAAATATGTTTTACTTGATTAAACACATGCTATCCTGATTTAAATTAAAACAGAAAAATAAATTTAAAAAAAGCCTTCAGAACCGATATATACCAAATCAACACACAAATCAATACTATTGATTATCTCCAAAAATCAAACATGAAAATTACATTAGAAACATCAAATAAAGGCTTTGATACCACTTTTGGGATTCGACCTCATACTCAAACATGAGAATAATCAAGAAATTAAAAATATAATGTCGTAAAAAATAAGAAACTAGATTTTAATCAAAGAAATAGCTGAATCTCACAAGATCATTTTTTGTGTTTTTCATGTAATTTTAAAAAAATTATTAATGTTCATAATTTTAAAAGTTACATACTCAGCTCTAGATATCGTAATTAAGAGCCAATTAAATCCAAAAGGATTGTCATGAAGCAAGTAACCTAGAAAGAAAACAAATCAATGTGAAATCCTATAGGTGAAATCTTTGCTTCTTTATCTTTAGGATTTGTCAAATCTTCAGCCACCCTAGTGTTTGGCCTTTAATAGTAATAGCATAGTGACCAAATAAGACTTTGTCAAAGGTAAGATTTTTACTTGTGCTAGTAAGTTTTGTTTTGAAAACCAAAAGACCAAAAGTTCTTCTCGAATCTTATTTCTGTAAAATAAAGAAAACTATTTTTTTTCTTATTTTTATGAAACTACTGAAGGTTTGGAGTTTTGGTTAGCTAGCATAACATGTTTATATAGCCAAACTAAATTGCAACCCTAGATACAACAGTTGTATTTTTATTCAATTAGGTCCATGTGAACTTAATTAATTTTTTCACTTTATTTTGGTATATTTTAATTAAGTCTAACTTAATTAATTGTCCTTATTTAATCTCAGTCATGTCACTTAATGTGTGTGACCCATTAGACTTCTAACATGTTGGCAATAAATATAAATCATAATCAAATATCAATTTGATAATTGATTTGTATTTATAGATCATGAGCGGCATCTAGCATTACATCATTATCGCCAAATGTTAGAGAATTAATTAAAGAATTTGACAAAGCCCTTTAGCGATAAGCCTCTAAGTGCAATACAGTCTTTTCATCAAATATCCTTGATATGTCATAAAGCATGGCTCAGTGTCGACTTATGACATTTCATATTAATTCTCATAATTTGTGACTAATCTTATGAATTTAGGAAACTAACTTTCTTTTAATTCATCATGCTTTGGCCAAAGACTTTATACAAGTTAATCAAAAATTGAGAACAATTGAGGTACATCCCCTCATATCACTTGGGGTGTTGAATCCTCTCTTTACCATGCATTTACCTTCGTACGCTTCATGGCATACCCAAAAACACCCCGTTTAAGCATTTGGCCACCTCCATACCGTAAAGGTGATATTAAAGTATGTCATTCTCTATACACATAACCTAGTGTCTCAAGTCTTAGAATTAATTGCATGACAATCACATGATAACATTTTCCATAAACACTTGATTGAAATACCAAATGAAGTTCTCATAGCAAGTAATGTTTAGTGAACTTGTTCTTTAACAAGCACCTACATGTTATCATCAAGCATCCCATATACTTTAATCTATGAGATCAATTGCTTACTTAATATCTTTTGCAAGGCATTTATGTTCCATGGGCTTCATCTAATTAGTAGTTAACAACTCCTTATTATTGCACTAACATGAAGAGAAACCTCTATCAGTTATAGTTATGTAATTAAATATACATTAAATGACGGTATATATTCGTTGACCAAACTAATTGGCTTAAGAGCATATATCAACAGCCCACCCTTTTTCTTTCAATTGCTACTTGTGTTTTTTCCTCTTGAATAAGCATTTGTCAAATTAAATCATCTTAATAATTAACCAATAAGTAAGCAAAATGAGTTAGATGTCATTATGGGTAATTAAGCCCTCATAAAAAATAATAACCCTCTCAAACCCAAGTGTGGAGCAAGCCAAATTTTGTTTAGGGATCAAAGATGTAAAGGAATAAAAAGCTAAAATTTTTTAAAACTAATATGTTGCATTTAAACAACAATCAAAAGACTCATGATAGATAGTAATTTATATAACATGTAAATCAAAAGGAGTAAGAAAAGAAAGACTTACAAGAAAGTTGTGCTCGAGAATGTTTTCTGATTTTGTAAAATATAAATAGTTAATTATGATATATAGAATTTCACATAATGGTTAAATATATAATTAGTTAATAATATAAATAGAAAGAAGAAAATAAAGGAAAAATTTATCTTTTCTTAATTTCACACAATAGTGGTGAGTGGTCCTTATCTAAGCTTACAAGCTCATAAATCTCTTTTAAAGAATGAAATGTGTTTCATTTATTTTACATAAGGGAGTGTAAAATGAAAGTAAAGAATAAAAGAGAAGAGAAAGAGAGGGAGAAAAAGGTGTGCATAAACTTAAGAACAAGGGTAAAGTTGGTTAGGGCTTAAGGGGTCATTTTATTATTTGTTATTTATATTAATTATTAAATAAAAATTATTGTAAGTAGCATTAAAATATATATATATTAAATGAATAATTTCAAAATTTTTGGGGTGACCAAAGCCTTCATAAATATACTATTCTCCAAAGCTATTAAAAAATACATATAATAACTTAAAATTTTTAAAAATTTTAGGGGGGTCAATATGACCCTCCAGCTTTGCTCCAGCCCCATTAGAAGGAGATCAAATACTTGACTCTTCACTTGGAGTCCATCTTGGCCTGTTTGGCACAGAGATTAAATACTTTACTTTTCCTTCATAATAACCTTGGTCAACTTATTAGTAGTATTCTTTTGTTTTGTTTTTGATTTTTTTTAGAAGCGATGTTAAAATTTCATTACTAAAGATACTTACAAATTTTACCTAGGAGGGAACATTTTACAAAAACTTGGTTGCAAAAAATTACTAGCATGACTGCATCAAGCAAAAATACAAGGTCTAGTTGCTTAAGAGATCCCTTGAAGTAACAACAGTCCAACCTTAAAATGAAAAAGCCCCATTAAACAAACATAAGAATCAGTGCTAAGAATAACAAAATCTCAAGCAACTAGAAAGGCATCAAAACAACAAGAACCTTAAAGCTAATATGCCAGCAGCTAAGAACTCACATCGCAGAATCCCACATAAACAATGGAGTAGATGAAAAAGAAAAGCCCTAAATAAGAAAAAGGTAAGAGGAAACTCAAGAAGGCCCTTCCATAGGTTTAGTCAAGGGCAACTGACAAAAGACCAATAACAAATTTTTCTCCCTTTGAACATCTTCCTTAATAAGAGAATTCATAGCTTCATTGGTGTTAAGTTACTAATGTTTGCATGAAGTCAACAAGTCAAAGTATTTAAATGCATTTTGCCTTGTTGTACTAGTATTTTGTAATTATGCTTGTTGTCATTTCTTATTGTACATATGTGCTTTCATGTTGTTTTATAACTTTATGTCTAACACTTGTTTTGTATGTCATTACAAGTGTAATGAATGTATTATGTGTATATAAGCTTTTATTAATGCTTAATGAAGTTATGCTACAACCATAATACTTTGTTCTTATTGCCTTTCACCTTGTTTTGCCTTTGAGGATTCTATTTTGTGATGTCTTTCCTTTCTTAAGCTTAATTATAACCTCTTTTGTATCCTCTTGCTATGTAAATCTTTTTGCATAGGGTTAATGCCTAATCCACATGGTGAATAAAAAATTATTCATCAATGCACTTCACCAAATTTACAAGGCACATTTTTGACAATCAAAACATTGAAAAGCTTGCTTCCCGATTTTTAAATCCTTTACGTATATAAACCGTATATATATATATGTATAGTCAAGCCCATTTTAAACATTTGGCATTCACAAACTCCTAAAATCACTACCAGCTCATGCTTTCCACAATTTGCATTGAAAATAAATCATTTCACATTCACAAATACATATATACCTACATACCAATTTATAGGATATTTTGAAATAGACACCCCCTACTCACTTTAGAATTTTTTTGGGATGCTAAATTGACTACCAATTCAAGTGCACACTTCCTTATTTTTGCTGGATCTTCCCCACTCCAAAGTACCAGTTCTCTCACCTAAATTTCCTTTGCTGCCACCAATACAACTATACTTTAAAAATCAATTTAAAAGCACACTTTCAACCAACTAACAATTTCCTACTTTCTTACCTTAGAAATCTTGAATCATCTCACCAATTCACCTCAATCTCAGCTATGGGGAAGGAAGAGGAAAGGACTTCATGTAGGGGAAGGATAAAAGGAAAGAAACAAGGGAAGAAATGGAGAGAAGAACTTAAAGCTGGCTGGTTATGGTGATGGTACGGTTTTGGGAGGAAGAATTTCTTCACAAGTGCAAGTGACGGTGGTGAGGAAAGAAAGAAGAAAAATGCTGAATGACCCAAAGAAAAGAAGGTTTTGGTGTCCAGCTGGTCAAGGAGAAAAACATAGAAAATTCTCTCCCCTTTATGGCTGGCCAAAGAGTGGAAGCATGAAGAAATTTCAAGAAGTTTCAAGGTGAGTTGATTAGTCAACATAGGTAAGTTCTTGTCTTTTTCCCCATTAATTCTTTCCCCATCCTTTTCTTCCCAACCTATACCAATTTTTCCCACAACATCACATGCATGACCGGCCATGTGGGAGAAAAAATGAGAGAAAGAAAAGTCAAGCTTCCTTTGTAAGCTTTGACCAAGCAAATAATGAAATCACCATTTAGCCCTCCTAAGTTCTCATTCTTTTTTTTGAGTCCTTCCATCACTTTTAAAATTCTAATTTTCTTATACTTCCTTCCTTGACATGTGTATGAACATAATATGAGGTTCGTATCTCATTCGCATGCCACCATAATATTTAAATATATACTTACCCGATAGTGCTTTATTTTGTCAAAGCATACGAGTTCCCTCTAACCTCATGGTTTTCTTTCAATTTTCCTCTTTTCTTCCCCTCCCCCACTTGGATTAGTCCTATAACCCTTTATTATCCTCAATAGAGTCTCATCGATCATTAAATGAGGTTACAGGGTGTTGCATTAATGAAGGAAGAATTTTAATGGAAGGAGGAGAGTACTTTCAAGGTGTAGACCTCTACTATACATGTTTCGGTATTTTGGTCATAACTCTCTCTACAAAACTCCAAATGAGATGATTCTTGTGCCATTCGAAATATAAGAGAGTATTTACAACTTTCATGTTTACCACTTTGCCTAGTTCAGCTTGTAAAATGGTCAAAAATCTTGTTGAAGTTGACATACTGTAGTAGTGCTAGAGCAATTACGATTTCTGTTAATTAATTGGGCAAGGCTGTGACCCATGTTGTCTAATGAGGAAATCCTGATTGGAATTGACTTCTTTCTTTACCCAACTTGGCCTAACTTCAAAGCCTATAAAAACAACCTTCCAAAAGACTTTAAAGAAGATAACGAAATACCAGATTGACACTTGAGAGTCAAGCCACAATGTTATTGAAGCTAAGAAGAATTTGAAGGATTCAAAGAGATTTGAAGATCAAGAATACAATTCTTTGGTTTTTCTATCTTTTTTGTTGTTTTTTCATTTTTCTTAGTTTGATTTGAATGTTTAAATTTTATTAGATGATGATGTGTGATTTGATAAGGAAGTAAATTGTTAATCTAAGATTATGATTGAACTTAATATGTAGTCTAAATTATTTATCTCTCTTTTATTTATGTTTGATAGATTTAAGTTGTTTATTTTATTCTTATCTTAATGCTTATGATTGACTTGCCACCATTTAGATTGAATTGAAAACCTGGGTTAAACCTTGATGAAGGAGATTT